GCGATTTACAGGATTGCAGAACCGATAACCAGCGTAACGAATCGCTTGAACATATCGTTCGTCTTTATTAGAACTAATCGCGATCGTTCTTTGCGAAGTGCGTTCTCGCAAACCGACCACGATGACACGCCAGTTCTGACAAAATTATGATTTATAACGAAAAAGCGCCATGAGCGTGTATAAAACAAGAGGGCTATTTACTGTTATTATTTCTCTGCAAAAGGANTGCGAACAAGATAAATAACATTTGCCGTTCTAATTTCGCGCTTATCTGTATCAATTAACGTCTCGGGCGAAACTTTAATATATTTTATCAAAAGTCTGAATTGATAATGCAAAATATATCTTAAGCAACTCAATATACGAAAATTTATGTCAAATCAATAATAAATGTTTTCTTGTGTATGTTTTCAATATAAATTCTTTTAAATTTTATTTATAATATTCTCTCTTTTTCTTACTTCTTTTAAATTCATTATGTACTCGTTAGAAATGATTAGTTACTAAGAAAATGTTCAATTACTAACGCAAATTCTCCGATCACGGCAATTATAGTAAATTATGGTTCTTCTATATATCGATATTCCGCCGTCATGCGTTTACGAGGGCAAGATCACGGCACGACCTTGTGCGTCCTACTTACGTTAAATGGGAGAAAAAGTGCTCACAAAACGGGACTTTCGATATGTATAAACATATACATACATACACAGGAAAGCGTAAAAGAAATCGCGCTATCTCCATTTACGAGCGAAATCGATTCGACTTTGACTCTGACAAATTCCAACGATATTTAGCAGTTACTTGAGATTTAATTTGAATACGCATCTATATTTAGCAGATAAACATGGAATCTTGAAAGATGAGCAGAATATATATCATATATTGTAAGACAACTACATTCTGGAATCGATTATTTAATAAAAGAAAAAGATTCGAGCATCGTCTCCGCGACATGTGTAATAAATATTGAAATATTCTAATAATAAAATATATATGCATTAAAAAAATAATAGTTTAAATGACAACTAAATACATTATGATCGAATAAGCTAACTTATTAATCGCAACATGCTGTTTTGAAACGCGCGGAATCGAGTTTCTCACAATAAATTCGCATATTTGTTTAACATTTGTTTACTTGACAAAACAAACGGAGAACAACGAAAGATCGCTATCGCTATTCATTGAAGCGGAATCGCGAACGGAATGACAGCGCGTGGAGTCTGCGCACGTGCGTCAGCCATGCACGTCGCAATGACTGTATGTAAACAAACGGAGCACGATTTCGCGTGAGAGAGCATTCTTACCATTAATTTCATGAAATGCGCGCGAGTATATCATGTGTCGGCAGAGACTGAAGGAGATAGCGCGAAACAAAACTGTTTCTAGCTAACAATTGATACGTTTCAGGCGAGACGTTCGAGAGAATCGCAATTCGAGAGAGATCGATTTGAGCGAGCGCGTGAATTCGTACCTGCAGCTTTTGCTTATCCTCGACCAGGTGCACGTCCTGGTGATCGCTGTCCTCGTGACCTAGCGGCACCGCATTCGGGTGTCCGCCCGCGAGAGAACGCGAGTCCTTGCCATCACCGGAGGCCCGCGGCGGCACGGGCAGCAGCAGCTCCGGTCCCGCCTTTTGCATGCGTTGATACACGCGATAAACACTCTTGACGGCCGCGCCGCCGGTACGAAAATCCGGCAGGAAGAAGAACGCGCCGAAGCACACGACGCCGAACGTCAGAAACACTAGGAGGATCAGGTACTTCTCGCGCGGACGGAAGGACCGTCTCGTGAACAACGGCACCGGCACGCCGTTCGCGAAGCGCTGATATGACGGCAGCGCGCCAGCCGACGTGGTCATCTTACCGCGAACGCTCGACACTCGTGCAACGCGTCGCGGCACTTAATCACCACCCCGGTGTTGCGTATCCGCGAAAACTCAAACACCCGTGCGCGTTTTGCCCGTACTGTATCAGCCGTCATACGCCATTACGAATGCGAGCACCACCTGCGTGCGACGGTTGACATCTCGCCACGGCTAGGATCGCAGCGCCGATCAGCTGACGTGGCGCGCGCGAGAGACAGCGTCACGTGATCGTCACGCGTCACCTACGCCCGCGACGGTAACATACGCCTGATTGCGCGCGCAATTCGACTTGCCGTCGGTCGGTGAGAGCGCGTGTCTGCCATTTACTTTCTTTGTAATATATGTATAATATATAACAAAAGGATAATAATAAAATATATCGTATAACGAAAGGAGAATTGAGACTTTTAAATCTTATTGTATTGTTATCGCGGACTACTTTTAAAATTTTATTATAATAGCAGCGTGAAATTTTATTTCTGATATTTATCTAGCAAATGGCAAAAGTATGCAACGAGAATAATATATTTTAGTCTTTGTCAAAATGCACAAACCATACGGAATCAATGCGAATGAACATTTCATTAATCAGATGAGAATAATAGATAAATTTACTTATTATAGCGTCGCTGTTCATTGTCATCTTGTCAGCTCTCTTGTCAATATCGACGATGAGTTTATTTCCCAGTTTCACAAAATGAAGAATTCTCACTCGCAAAGATCTAATTCTCGATCACGTATGTCAATTGTAAAATGGCGGCATTTGTTCAATTCCCCCGACATTTATTCAATCGCAAATTTTCATAAATATGATTCATTTTAGAATTCACTTAACGGAGTTGTTACTACCGACGCGGCATATTGTATCGATTATATGATATATCGTGATTTTCAAAAATCCGATATGAAAGATTTCGAAATGCCCTTTCTAGACACTGGAGGATGATCCCACTGTAGCTTATCCGAGTGCATAGTGTAAACTAGAGTCCCTAGTGTAAACGGGTAAAAATTATACTGAAGTTAGTTAGTTAATCGGATGAGCCACAAGTAGGATCATCTTTCGGTTTAGAAAGGACAAATCTGATCTATCGCCGAAAGTATGCATAGTATGTACTATATTTGTACATCAATTAAACACATATACCTTCCGAAAATAAACTAACAAAACATCTCTACTGCCGCTATATTGTAATCATATCAGTTTTAGTCATCTCTTTTGCATTTTTTTATGTATATCAAAGTGCAACCTCATCATCTATCTATATACAAATTATATTTATATAAAGAACAGTTTATATGTCATGATTATAACATAAAATTTCTGTATATAAAAGAATTAAGAGAAAATATATAAAAATTAAATAAAAGAATATATATATATATATATATATATATATATATATATATATATATACATATATATCATATATGTATAAAATTTTATTTATATGAAATTTCTGGACATTTTAAATCAACTGCAAAAATGTAACCGAGTTGTTGTTGAGTTATTATTATATTAATTTCCAATAGAAAAACTTATATATACATAAAATTCTTTACATGTTTACCACTATGTTCTACATTCGAAAGAAAAAGCTAATTTTTTGCATTATACGTGATCCTCTCTTACCTCCGCAATGAATATCAAAATCCAGCGAAATGTGCAAACCAAATCGTTCTGCTGCAAGGGCCATACTCCGAGTATCGACATCATTGTCCTTATCGCTGAAAAGCCATAATCCATACCATTGTTCCAGTGCGTCTTCATGTTTTACGACGGTCAATTTCGATCTCAAAAAAAATAGTGATCAAAAACGTGACAGAATGTTGCTTTACATCTATGCGATATGTATGATTTTGAGAGGAATTGCTATTGTCGAAAGGGAGTTTTGTGCGCAAGACTCATCGCTTGTTCATTGATCGGTCTTTATGTCGATAAGATAATGACAGAACAAATTAAATTTATGCGGCCGAGCTTAGATCTATTCTTTTCAGCTGTACTTTCTTACACAGCTGTGGTTTTTCCTAAATTTTTTTCTTTCTTCTCTTTCTCACTCTAATAATTGATTATATTTTATTACGAGTGACAAAATCACTCTCTCAATATAATACACTGCTGAAAAGAACAAACCTTTTGACTGTAAACTACCGTTGTGTATCGCTGGACAAACGTTAAATCCGCGCCGGTAAGAAGTGTTCGTAATAGTTCTTCGTGAAATCTACCATGAGATCCAGCGTGCACTCAGGCAGCTCTTCGACATATGTCGCCGGACTGCCAGCGAAACGTGTGAAGGACGGCACAATAGTTTCAGGTGGTACGACCGCATCGTCCTCGATATAGCAACAGTCCTTTAGGACCGATCGCCTGCCCTAGTGAGATAAATACGGTAGATTGAAAGAACTACGCTTGTGTACTTACATCCATTACACTGGATGGATGGATTATTATACATACGATTATGGCGTTCTTCCCTATGTAAACGTAAGAACCAACTAATGCTGCATTTACGATGGCCCGCTCTCCCACAAACACGTGATTTCCCATTGTTAAAGGAAAAAAGGCAACCCTAATCAAAAGGTTTATCGCTTTATAACAAAATAATATTTTGATACTTAGAATTACTTAAAATTTCATGCGGTTACAGAATTGTGTTTGCTTGCTAAATCACAAGCTGCTAATCTGGATAAACACGTTTGCTGGCATTTCGATATGCTTCAAGATGTTCAATAAGCAAACTGAAGCTGTCAACACATGTAAATATAATCAATAATTTGACCCACCCTCTGCTGAATTTCTTGAAAGGCGGTCGGATGACTGCATTCTTGCTAATTATGCAATAACGACCAGTCCTGACATTGGCCAGATCACCTCTAATGATAGCGTCAGATTGTACTATTACTTTTCCGTGCAATACAATGTTCTGCGAACCGCATAGTACTGTCAGCCTGCTAACCTTATTTCCTGAAGCCTAAAATGCCGAAAGCGTGGGGTTATGTATCACGTTCTCGACATTTGCAAATGATACTAGTATCGCGAAATAATTAAATTGATTAGGTTTCTTTTATCAGTGTTATTTTTAACAATAATTATGATATAATTTAATCAAGACAATTACTATTTCGTAAAATTGTATAAATTATAAATATTTTTATTTTGTTTAATATAAAATTTATGAAATTTTTGTTTTTTAGGTATGAATAGTATTTACTTTAGAAAGTACATACGCATATCCATTTAAAAAGAAAATTATTTTGACATCTATGTAACACTGTGAAATAAATTACTTATAAAGTAAATATGTGCGAAATGTAATAGATCCTTTCGTTAATGACCCTGTATGCATTTAATCTAGGGATAAATGCGTATAAATAGGATGCAGTTAAATAGAATGATTTATACAGTCAAAATCGGCCGCGACAGTGATTTCAAGATTGCGATACATACGCATAAATATATACAAGATATTCTATTTTTAATTATATTACAAAAAGAATAGGACATTATTTACTTATCCAAAGGAAAAAATGTAACAAATTTACAAAATTTATGCGGCCGAGCTTAGATCTATTCTTTTCAGCTGTACTTTCTTACACAGCTGTGGTTTTTCCTAAATTTTTTTCTTTCTTCTCTTTCTCACTCTAATAATTGATTATATTTTATTACGAGTGACAAAATCACTCTCTCAATATAATACACTGCTGAAAAGAACAAACCTTTTGACTGTAAACTACCGTTGTGTATCGCTGGACAAACGTTAAATCCGCGCCGGTAAGAAGTGTTCGTAATAGTTCTTCGTGAAATCTACCATGAGATCCAGCGTGCACTCAGGCAGCTCTTCGACATATGTCGCCGGACTGCCAGCGAAACGTGTGAAGGACGGCACAATAGTTTCAGGTGGTACGACCGCATCGTCCTCGATATAGCAACAGTCCTTTAGGACCGATCGCCTGCCCTAGTGAGATAAATAGATTGAAAGAACTACGCTTGTGTACTTACATCCATTACACTGGATGGATGGATTATTATACATACGATTATGGCGTTCTTCCCTATGTAAACGTAAGAACCAACTAATGCTGCATTTACGATGGCCCGCTCTCCCACAAACACGTGATTTCCCATTGTTAAAGGAAAAAAGGCAACCCTAATCAAAAGGTTTATCGCTTTATAACAAAATAATATTTTGATACTTAGAATTACTTAAAATTTCATGCGGTTACAGAATTGTGTTTGCTTGCTAAATCACAAGCTGCTAATCTGGATAAACACGTTTGCTGGCATTTCGATATGCTTCAAGATGTTCAATAAGCAAACTGAAGCTGTCAACACATGTAAATATAATCAATAATTTGACCCACCCTCTGCTGAATTTCTTGAAAGGCGGTCGGATGACTGCATTCTTGCTAATTATGCAATAACGACCAGTCCTGACATTGGCCAGATCACCTCTAATGATAGCGTCAGATTGTACTATTACTTTTCCGTGCAATACAATGTTCTGCGAGCCGCATAGTACTGTCAGCCTGCTAACCTTATTTCCTGAAGCCTAAAATGCCGAAAGCGTGGGGTTATTTATCACGTTCTCGACATTTGCAAATGATACTAGTATCGCGAAATAATTAAATTGATTAGGTTTCTTTTATCAGTGTTATTTTTAACAATAATTATGATATTTCCATTTTTCAATATTAATTATTCTCGATAAATGTGTATATTGCTAATAGTATACTTGCTAATAGTCATTGAAGCTATATACTATTACCGTTTCAACATATTCGGCCTTGTTATAATAAATATCCTGCGGCTCCATCTCGATATATCCTTGTACGATACAATCGTATATTGTTCAGTGTTCAAATTACTATAAGCAAACAAAGCTGCAACGAAATTTCACAAACAGTGGATAACACGCGGAAACCTGTCACTGATCTGTCATTCGACTGCAATCAGCTGATGAAGAGAATGCTCATTGCCATCTGCTGACAAAATCATGCACCGTTCCATGACGTAAGAAAGCGCGCATAAATTTAATCCTCAGTTAATAGCATGAAGTCTTTTAAATTTCATAAACACTGTTTTAATAGTAATATAACAACTAAAATTGTACGATAATATAATTGAAATTATTTTCTCATAGTTTTTTTTCATTCCCTCATTTCTTCATCTTTCAATGTTAGTAAATATTTTTGGAACAAAGAAAATGAACACTTCATAAGCACTCTTAAAAAAGACTTGTTAAATCGATATTTGCAAGTATTGTTGCCTCTTTTCCGCAATGCTAGATGGTTATCTCGAAATTACGCATTACTTTATATCAATAAAAGCCTATCATGGCTGAGCCGCGTATCTAATAGTTCAAATATTAAGTATGTGTGTATAATTTTGATTTAATTGATTTTGAAAAAACGCGTAACTAAAATTAATATGTAAGTAATTTTATAAATATGTGTGTATATGTGTATGTGTGTGAAAAAGAAATTAATTAACGCTGTTAATGATTAAAACTCCTAGATTCGAAAGAACACGGTAAAAACTATAGGAAAATATAATAATTATAATAGAATAGATCTCCGCATTTCGGAAATCATAATTTTCCGCATGTTGTATAAAGACACATTCAAGTAATAGGATAAGTAGATCTTTTTCGCATTTCCGACTTTTTGATTAAATACTTTTCGGTACATTTGAAATTGTTTATTAACTGTTATATTTCAAAACCTATGGAGCAAACTACAAGCATTTTGATCTCATTTGAAAGATAATTTAATTCCGAACAAAAAGTTTCCTATAAACATGTGTCAAAAAATGCTTCCTTAAAAAGTTAGCGCCCAAAAACCTCTGAAATCACGGTTATTTTTTACGTTTTTACAAATATCAGGGAAAGTATACGTCTCTTAACAAAAAGTACCGAAACAAAAGAGACCAAAAATTATATTAATTCAAAATTAATTAATAAAATATATTCGTTTGTAACCACAACTTTTTATCAAAAAGTCTGCAAAAACTAATTGTAATTTAAATTTATGTATTTAAAAAAATTAAATTTATCCATTATATCCATATTCAATCTATTATGAAGTATTTTCATTGTCGCGGGGAGCGCGCGCGGCGCGGGATGTGAAAAGATAGGTGAAGTTTCGATGTTACTCAACGATTAAATCAGAAGATAAATCATGATTTAAATTTCGCGAATGTACACGATAAATAAATAAATTGACGGTAATTGTAATATGTTGCGACAATAAAAATGTTCTGACATTTGGAGCGCATTTTATAATTTGTAATTATAATGCGCGTGAGAAGTCGAATGCGCATTATAATAAAATCTATATAAAATCTAATGGCCCATTTATTTTCAAATGCGCAATTTTATACGAATTCCGCGATCAAATATATCTTGTTTTGTGAACAATTGCAAAACAGGATAAAATAAACTTTATAATTTTTAAAATAATTGCGTTATTGCCGCGTTTAATGGAGGATAACTGACTTAACGATTAGACCAGATCAAGATTCCTCTGCCGAGTGACACACTGGTTAATATCTGACAGAGAGAAGAACGATCCTAAAAGTGGAAAGCGACTTCAACTTGTCTTATTTCTATGTCGGGCCCTGTGGAATCGAAGGAACCGCCAAGAAAACCTGGATTTAATTCCAACTCTGCAACGGAAACTTTCAATTTTTAACGAGGCACCGAACTAAGCGTCGTGGATAGGTCCCACAAAAACCGACGAGAAATAACTCTCCACGATGAAGATCGTTTCGATTCTCCGCCAGTACAAACCGCGCATTCGCTAGCGTCCACCTGACATGAGGAACAGCGATAAGGTTTCTTCGTCAAGGTAGCGATCTCGTCCAAAAATATGGAAAGAACGCAATGTTTGCAATATTATTTATAAAATTGTACAGTGAATATTTAAAGCGACGCGAAATTCGTAAAATGCGTCTAATAAAAAACGATAATCAAAGTAAATTATTTTGTTCCGCAGATTTTTTAATTCCGTGATCAATAATATTTAATCTTAAAAATTTTTCAATATTTCAAATATATTTGTATTTTTACAATATCAAAAGAGCGATCAACAAATTTTGCAAGTAAAAAGCTAATATTTAATCGTTAGCTTAACATCGAATCTTTATATACTTATTTAATAATTTTTATATTAAGTAGAAGAGAAAGAGAATTTTAGCGATATCTGCAATTACAAAATTGTTAAATAAATATGTTTTTGGATTTTATTGATAATCTTTTGGTATGAGAAAAGTAAGCTATATTAAATTTTTGAATAAAATATAAAATAGATATATTAAATTATATAAATATTTTAAATTATAAATCAATTATTTATTAAACATTAAACGATTAATGTATCACGGAACTTATCATTATATTAATTATTCAATTTTGCGATTCAATCGTTTTACAGCACATTCTTGATCCAAATTATATCTAGATCGTCGAAAAGTCAAATGATATAACATCGTGGATATAATATATTTAACTCTATGTGTTGTTAAATAATTATTGTCCGTAAAGATCGCAATGAAACGATAATTTATAATTTGTTTTTTTATTACTTTAATTTTTATTTGATTAAACGAATAAATTACGCGAAATACGCTCTTCGAAATTTATTGTCGCGATATATGTAGTTAAATATTATTCATGAGTGTTAATTACTCATTAATGATATTAATAATATCAAATTATTTTCCGATGCCTCTTGCGATCGTGTTTAAAATAAGAATTTGACAAAGCGTCTCGCGTCGAATATATATGTCTATTTTGAAAATAATATAAATGATAAATAATTTATAAATTACTACTGTATATTAGTCTGTCCATCGCTCAAACCTCCTTTTCCTCTCTTGCTCATCTTTTGCTGTTTCCTGGTAGCACTCTTACTTACTCGCAAAAACAAGCTTGAAATATGGAAAAGATCTTTACTAGGACTAATCGGATGACGAATTTAATATATAATATAATTAATAGATATTATTTTAATTAACATATATAATAATTGGTGAATCAGAATTAATTGACAGTTTGATTTCTATTGATTGTCACATGCATAGTTTCACGTCCTCGATAATTTCTATCCACAAATCCTACGCTTGTACTATTCCTAGCTCGTGTAAGGAGCGATAATTGTGTCACGGAAACATATGAGCAAACAGTCAATGCTATTATATAACATTTCGTAGCCGCGAGAGTTAACGGATTTGACATTACAATAGAGCAGCGATAATACTCTTTTACA